GGCCTCCAGAGGTCCTTCCTCCCCGGGTGGGGGCGAGGGCCTGGCCTCACTCACCTCTCTTCAGGCGCTCCATGGCGCTCTTGCTGCCAGCATAGGTGGGTCGGATCTCTTTGCCCATCTCCTCTATGACCGACAGCAAGTCCGTGTAGGTGCTCTGGGAGCCCTGGGTGCCGGGTGGCTTCATCGCCTATGTCAAGAGAGAACAGGGCAGCGAGCTCAAGCCCGGGGGGGGCCTCCAGTCCCCAACCACAGGCAGCCTCTCGGCCCCACTCACCTGCACATAGCCCATGGAGGGCGGTCCAAAGTCGTTAAACAGGGGTCTGAAAGGGGCAGCGGCTCCCGGCACCGAGCCCGACGGCGACGGTACACTTCCGGCTGCAACAGGTTCGAGTTAAGAGGTCAGCGCGGGGCAGGGACATCTCCCCGAGCTCCAAGCCTCCAACCGGACTCGCCCGATTCCTTCCGAAAGGGATGCTCCGCTCCGGGCAGCTCAACTTCAGGGACAAACCCCTCCCCCTGCACCCCACCTGGCCCTTACGTGACCACGCCCACTTCACAGGCCAGCAAACTGAGGCTCTGGGCGTGTAGGCGACAGGCCCACTGCTGCGGAACTCGGGCCGTCTTCTTTTCGAGATCTCGACCGCCCGGGCAGGCGAGCAGGGATGGAGCTGGATCCTCACCTGTAGGAACTGGGGTGCCGGGCCCAGGGGTGCTGGAGCCCGGGGTGCTGCTGGGGGCGGGGGCGATCGGTTTGTAGGACATCCCCAACTCCTGGGTGCGGCGGACGTCGGCCGGCCGCTCCTCCGGGGTTGGCTGCCTGGCCACTCAGCTGCGCCCTGATTGGCAGGCGGGCTGCACGCCCCTAGTAAATAGAGCTCAGGCCGGAAGGGCGGACGGGCTCCAACGCTCTCTCACTCCCGATTGGTGCGCAGAGACGTCACTCGGACCTCCTCATTGCCCGAGACCGGCCCCCACAGGCCGCAACCGCCGCTGATTGGTCGCTGCCTTCCGGACCTCGCACCTGTCTGCTTGGGATTGGGCGGTGGCCGACGCCCTCCGCAATTGGAGAGTTCGCGGCTGCGGCCCGCGCGCTCTCAAACCGATTAGTCCCCAGACTCGAGAGGCGGAGCCTCAGAAGCCGGGACCCGGGGCCGGTCAGCCGCGGTTCGCGTCCAGGGGGGTCGTCGCAGGTGCGGGCGCGGCCCTCGCGCCTCGCTCGCCTCGCTTCGCACGTCAGCTCCGCGCCGCCGGGTCTCGGTCCAGCTGGGGTTGCTGCGGCCTGGGTCCAGGAGGGGTTACTGCCGCCGCCGCCGCC